ACACAGACACAGACAGACAGACAGACAGACAGACAGAGAGAGAGAGAGAGACAGACAAGGGTCCTGCCGGCAGCTGGTGATGGGTCCTTCTTTGGTGCCAGAACACGCCAGTGGAACACGTGGTGATGGTTCTTGTACCACTGGGTTCTTGTTATGGCTGTTGTTTTGTACCACTGGTTGTGGTACCATGTCTCTACGAGGCGTTTGCATGTCCAAGATGCACGGCCGCCGGAGCGTAGGTGTCTAAGTCACACGCTCGCGCGGTCGGTCTTGCGTGCTGTGCCGCGAACAGAACCTGCGCCGGGGCCGAACGTGGGCCACGCGGGGAGGACGTTAGTCCTTCTGTCTGAGAAGCCTCTTTCGGATGAGAGGAGCTATCAGCACCTTGGCTGTAGACGAGTGCGTGGAGTTCGGGTCTGTCCTCTCGAAGCAACTGAGAGGCAGGGGATAAAACCATCAAGTACTCCGTGTAGTCTACCTTCCGAAGTGCGGCACGGGACTTGGGAGACCATCTTGGAGGGTCGTTTTACGGTCAAATCCGGCTGTCAGACTCACGACCCTGCACACTTCACCCGTGGAAACCCATTTTCCCCTTACAGCCCCAAGTGGTTTTCGGGGTGCATGTTCCTCCAGGAAAAAAGGGATCAAACTTGAACCTTTGGGCTTCAGAGCGGGGGCTTTGAGCGGACGGATGTCGGGCGGGGTCATCCGCGGCGCGCGGGGGCGCATGCGCCGGCGACTCCACGCACAGGTTCTCCACGCTTCCGAATGGACTCCATATGCTGAACATCCAGGACATCTCGCCGAACTCACTTGCAGGGGGCATGGGGTGTTCTGAGTCTAGGATGTTCGGACGGTGGGGTTGGATTTTTGTGGTCGGGGTGGTGGGTGTGGAGCCTGAGAATGGCCGTGACCGTTGCTGGATGCAGAATCGACTGTTAATGTGGAGATTTCTCCGGTAGAGAAAAGCACGGGAAAAAAACTCGTCGTTCTGGGAGGCTTGTTTGGGGCATCGATCAGCCTCTCTAGCCTATTTCGTGTGATCGTCGAGGGGCGCACCAACCATCGCACCAACCATCGCGCTTTCGTGGTCTCGAGGTTCCAATGACACAAGAGCAGGGTGACAGAGAGCAGCAGCTTGATGAGATAGATTCGATTGCGGTCACGCAATCACCTCAAATGGGTCCCCACTCTTTTCTTTGCGATGATGTATGTTCCCAGGCATCTTCCACCGCGGAGTCCCCGCGCGACCAGGATGCTCAGAGCCACAAGATGGCGATGGCAATGGTGTGGAGCCTTGAACTTGGGGTTCGTTTCTATGCTTCGGCCTCCAGGGGACGGGTAACTGGTGGGGGGGGGAGGTTCCCGACTTGGGTTCGTTTGGCCCAAAAACGGCCTGGTGCGTTCCACTAGTGTGGTGGAAGCTCGCCCACCGCGACCCGCCTCAGGGCGTCCGCGCCGGCAGCTACGATGACCCACGGGAGCTGCCAGGTGCGGTCTGGAACGGGTGAAACGCGTGGGACGGGGGTCGGACGTGTGGAACGGGGATGAACGGGGGTCGGACTGTAGAGAGTCCCAACAGATGCGCCAAGAAGGGTGGGAGCTACAACCTGCTGCCAGTTTGAAAGTTCTGTTTGCAGGGACGGCATGGGAGCTGTTTTGGTGTGTCTTCAATGGGTGGAAGTGGGATGTGACAATCCCCGGGTTCACCCCATCGGAGGCATCCCAGCATGGCATGAAGCGTTTTATGATGTTTTACGCACGTGCGTGATGTATCATGATGTATTATGATGTATTTGATGATTCCCTTGGAAAGCGAGTCCGTTGGTCTTTCAGCTGGCTTTTGCTGCGAGTTTGTCCAACACAATCCCAAGTCAAGACTTCGGGATTTCCAATGGTGAGAGGCTGCAGACTTCCAGGGTTGGACCTTTCCGGCTTCATTCTACAAGTCCCAGCCTAGACTTACGGCCTGTGTCGGGAAGCTGTGTTGACACCTCATAGCGGTCAAGAAATGCGCTTCTTTCCGAGGTTTAGCACACTTTTGCGAACACATGCTCTTCCTGGGCACGCAGAAGTACCCTGAGCCCAGCGTGCCTTGGACATGCCAAAGCGCGAAAACCGTTCATGCGAGCCCAGCATGGCCTTTTGGTTGCCTGGTTCGTCAGCCTTGCTGTGGCTTCAGGAGTGCGCTTGGAAGGGGTGAAAGTTCAGTGGCTAATGCAGATCTCCAAGCAGCCTAAAGAATTCTTCCATCCAAGGAGCTGCAAGCGGAACCTTCCGACATCTGAAACTGCAACAGTGGAAGTTTTGGGAGCACGGCTAGGCTATATCATCCACTTCGTTCCCGTTCGACCTCATGCAAACTTGAGAAGCCTTGACTAACCCCCAAAGCTATTTCAGGTCGTCTCAATGCTCGCCACCATGTGGGATGTTCATGGATGTTCTTGTTTCGCACCCTATGATTACACCACCCGTGACTCGATGACCGAGTTGCGACCCAACTACAACCGAGTCGTTTTTCGGCGTTCGCCCCGTGACCTCCTCTGCCTTGGTGGTCGGAACGTTCCTGCGGCCCTCACCCAGGGCTTCGACAACTTCCTCACCAAGTGCGCTGACCGGATGGATACTCGTCAGGTGTTGTTCTTTCTCTTCCCCTCTTCCCAGACTCCGGCCCCTTCAAAGGTCACAGGTGTCCCACATCTGACATCCGGTTTAACCAGTGTTGATGATGTTGATGACGCATTGTCAAATGTTGTCATTTTTCCTAGCTGAGACGGACGCTGATGTCCAAGTTAGATTGAACCATCTATTAAAATTTCTTGTGCCAACCCTTCCTCAGGTACGGGGGGCTCGTCGAATGCCTTCACCTCTTCAGAGGCATTCCGAAGACATGGTGGGCTCACGCGTCAGCCCGTGCTTTGGAGGTGTGAAAGCCCAAACACCTGCACCGCCAACACCTGCACCGCCCGGTCATGCGTTGGGTCACCCCGGGTCGAGCACACCGAATTCCGGAAGGATCAGTGTGGAAGGATGTGGCGTGGAGAATGGACGACCCCCGGCTCACCATGATCATCCACTGTTTGTGCCAAGAGACGCCAGAGGCAGTTTGCACTTCCAGGCACTGGCACCAGGATGACAAACAGCGGGCTTACAAGAGGTGCCTTTGCTCATGGCCAGAGGCTTGATGATACATAGGAACACAGGCCAGCAAAAGCGGGTCGAAACTCCTTGAATCAGACAATTCCCGTAGAAACTCTTCACTGATCTTCACTGTAAGCACAGTTCTCCCGCCCCTCCTTTTCCCACCCGGTTCCTACACGCAACACGGTCCGGTGGGTCCACACGGTTCTTGTCCCTTTCTTGGCCTCAGTCCTCCGCCCGGCCGGTGAAGGCCACGGTCTACTTCGCGGCGGCCTCCGCGGAAGCGGCCCCGGAGGTGAGCGGGGAGGTGATCGGTGCGGAGTCGGGAGGTGCCAAAAAGGTGGATCTCTAAGGTCTTCATGGCGAATGGATTCAGAGGGGGGATTATATAGAATATACTATATATATATATATATGTGTGCACATGAAACATTACTTGGATACGATGACAAATATGCATCTCCAAAGGCTGAAGCATCATTTGATGGGAACTGAAGGGTGTCAACTGCCAGGGTTGGGATGCATCAGCAGCTCCGACAGACTTTGCAAGCACCTGGGTCAGATGCCATGCGAGTTTCCTTCTTGTGCAGGTTACTTATAGATCTTATAGATTCGTAATCCTATCTCAAAACGCTTGGCTTCTTCATCACGCCGAGACTTATCATTTATTTGAGCCAAGAGTTTGGCTCCCAGGTCTTTCTCAGCTTCGTTGCTTTAGTGCATCAGTCCTTTGCCCTTTTTTTCTCCCTTGGCTGCTCCTTCACACCCTGAATGCATCTGAATGTGATGGCCGTGGCAGTCTTTTGCTCAGCAGATCGGTCGACTGAGAGCAGCAGACTGAGATCATCAGAGCAAGGGGAGAACAGCTTTTCTCCGTGAACCCCAAGAAGACCTCCACGTAGACGACCGAGCTTGAAAGCTTGACCGAGCCATTCAGCTAGCCTCTTTACCTCTTTGGCACCCCGTGACTTGAGAAGCGTTCAAGAACGGTGGAGTCAAGGGGGTTTTGAAGATACAGATCTCTAAAACGACGTGACTTGTCTATGCAAAACACTTGGCCATGGAGTCCATGTCAAGCAGCCTGCTGGCGCAGGAGCGCCTTCTTTTTCGCGCGCACGCGAGAGCGGGAGAGGTGAGGTGCCTCGTGCACTCGGTTTGGGACTCGAGGGGGCGACATCACATACTCCACATAACCACGTATATAACCACAGAACCCCACTGCAACCATGCAGTCGGTTTGAGTCCAAGACCATCTCCAGTTGCGGGTGGATTGGCCCTTTATCTCCATCATGATCACAGAGAGAGAGAGAGAGAGAGGGAGAGAAGAGAGAGAAGAGAGAGAGGAAAGAGAGGAAAGAGAGAGATAGAGAGATATACTGTAGGGATATAGGGATATATTAAAACATATATCTCATATATCAACTGAGTGATGTCGCAGACTCAGCCGTCCTGTTACTCCCAAGCTTGGTGGCCACTCATTGGAGGGCCCGAAGAGTCGGTTCCCCTTTTGGAGCCACTTCTGCCCGGCCCACTGGCGCGGTGCTCGAATGCGATCGATCGCCCCAGGCGCCACTTCCCAAAAGTTGGCTCCTGAACCCCTGCTTCGGTGGCTGTTTAAAGCGCTTCAACCTCGTATGGCTGCGCCTTGGAGCGGAGATGAGAGGTGGGGGAGTCGGTTCGGAGAGGTAACCGTTGGTTTAAGCGTTGGGAGCAGACCCGTTCAGCTTGGGTGCCAGATATGACAGACTCGTTACTCGGTTTGGGGGTGAAGCGGTGACCCGAGCTTTGTTTGCCTTTCGGAGCTGTGGTAAGCAGGAGGGGTTCTCCCACCCTCCAGGCCACGCGAGCTGTCTTTTTGAAAGCCATGTGGCTCCAAAGTTCTAGTAGAGAAGTTTCACTTCTACACTAATTGCAGCATGGCCTTCTTGATTGGCCCACTTTATTCCATATCCGCGCGGCGGAGCCGCCGCTACCTCGCTGTTCTGTCGTGGCTGCTGTGCCACCTGGGCGCGCGGGCCGCCAAGTTCGGCGACCTGGGCGCATCGCTGTTGCAAGTGAAGGCAGACCCTCATGACACGCTTTCGCTGATCCCGCAGCCGAAGACGGTGCGAGTGAGGAGAGGGATATGACCAAATCACGGTCCGTGGTGGGTGAACCCCCATGCCTTTTTCAGTCTCTAGGGTTGTGCATGTCGCCTAGACTCGTGGTCAAGCTAGTGCTTATACAACCCCCTTCAACTGTATATACATACACATATTTACAATAAAATCAGACGTTACAGTTACATGTTTTTAGCTGTTTGTTATTAGTTATTGGTGATGCAGTCCAGCTAAACCAAGTCTTTGTTGTGGTGTTGCTGAAAAGCACAAGCTTTTTAGAATTTGGGCTCTGAAAAGTCGATTCAGAAAGCTGGGCTCTTTGGAGGTTGTTGAGCCTTCGGGACACGCAAACACTGCAGCGAGACTGAGCGACTGTGAGCTATCATGTTGGGATGCGACCTTGACGTGCAAACCTGAAAAGGCCACATCTCAAATGGAAGGCCATGTCCTGTACTCTTGAAGGTGTGGCAGGACCCACTCTCCGAACAACGGCAGGGGCACGTGACCCTCAACAAGGCCTGTGACCCGCCGCCCGGACCACGGAACCAACGAACAACGAACCGCAGGACGGGCCGTTTGGAGCTCCACGAGCTCCGCTACGACGCGCCCAGCGCGCCCCCCCGCGCTGCGCGCGGCATTGGGCGATGTCCTGGGTGCGACGCCCGGCGCAAGCGGCGCAGCGGCGGGGCTGCGACTCATGCTGCAAGAAGAGGCCCCTGAGATTCGGTGATTCTGTGATCTCTTGAGGGCAACAGGCTGCAATTTGAGAGTGGTTTGTAGGTGACTTATATATAGCTGCAGAGTTTTGGCAAGTTGGAACGAGTACGGGTCCGCACTGGTGTATTTCGGGCATGCCTTGGAAGTTCTTTTTGACCCAACGCCCAAAAGTCAGCACCTCGTTGGAGAACGACGAGCCTCCACAACAATTTCCTGTAAAGTGAGATCCCTTGACTGGCTGAGATCTCTGCAAGAACGCCTATCTACCAGCAAGGGTTGTAAGATACTGGGTATGTTGGGGACATCACGAACTCTATTGTTATTCGTTTACATCCTCCCAATGGGTGCTTGATTGATGGAAACTCAAGAGCATTCCTCACCATCGCCACGGTTGCTGAGTGGCCCCTTTCTTTCATCGCCACGGGACCTCGCCACGGCCGGCGGGCGCTTCGTCCCTCGCGTGTCGACGTCCGTGGACTCCGTCCCGCCAGGCCGAGGACTTCCATCCGGAGGGCTACCGGCTCAACGTCAGCGAGGAGGGCATCGCCCTCGAGGCGTCCACAGAGCACGGGCTGCTCGGGCGCGTGGGGGTTTGGGTTGAAAGCAGGTTCTTGATCCAACAAGCCTAGAACGTGGGCCCCCCCAAGAAAATACCAACACTGGGCGGATATTTTCTTGAAATCTTAATATTAGCTTAATAATTCTAAGTATCACTATAAGTGTTTGTTGGGCGCAGGGTGTGCAGTGTTTCCCGCGTGATGGCACTGTCAACCTCAATGTCAGACCATTTGTACAAAAAAAAGGGATCGATTCCAGTGTTCATGACAACTGGGTAGCGCGCGCCACTGAAGCCACAAGACAAGAAGTGCATTCTTTCCCTTTTTTTTGGTGGAATTTGTGGAAAACCTTCCCGGCACAGAGAGAAGAACACCGCTTCATGAGATGCGCCCCATTGTTCAAACCCTTGCCAACAGCACAGATCTTTTTCCCGAACTATCTGCGCTGCCAAGGGGCATCTAGAAACGCCTATTGCCCCTGTTCAAGTAGGGGAAGTGGCTTCTTTTTAGTGGTGGCGAGGTGGTGCTAACATGTGCACTTGGGTCAAAGAAACGGTGCACTGGTGTTTGCCCCCCAGACTGGGGAAGGAACATGACAAACATCCCGATCCAAGGCTTTTCAATGGCCTGATGACGCTGCGTCAGCTCATGGTTCATCGTGCAGACAGCGAAGGCGGTGGGTGGAGCTTGCAGAAGGTGGAGATCGAGGAGAGAGATCTGAGCGAGCAGTGTCATAGTTCAATCTTTCGATGTTTATGTTAGGATATATTTTTTGGATATCGAGTATTGACGGTATTGATGAATCATGCACATGCATCAATTACTTTGGCCAAGTTTCTTTTGTGATGGATAGTTGGAATTCTTGCGAGACTGGGGCAGGGCGAGTGTGGTGCAGATGCGAGAGGTGGAGAGACACACATTGTGGAGCGTTTTGCGATGGATCGGCCATTCTTGGCAAGAGTCCAACGAAAAATTAGACTTCTTCCTCTTAGCTTGCTTTGTTCCGGTCCAGGTGTGTTCGTTTGATGCCTTCGCACGTCTCTCCTCGACTCCCCTCGACTCCCCTCGATGCCTCGATGCCTCGAAGAAGGACGCGCCGGAGTTCGCCTGGCGGGGGCTGATGCTCGACGTGAGCCGGCACTTCTTCTCGCCCACGGCGGTGAAGCACTTGCTGAAGACGATGGTTTGTCGGCCTGGAGCGGGAGCTGTGGCCGGTTTGGGGGATTTGGGGCTAGAAAAGTCCATGTGTTTGCCAGACAATTCCAAACAAGTCCGCAACGGCCTGGTGCCCTGCCAGCCATGAGCACAATGTGGACACCGGAACTTCTCTGGGGAGTTGTGTGATATTTAATCTTGAGAAGGCCTTTTCAAATCGGAATCTGCAGGTCGCTGAACCAAACAGCCAATTCGTATCACAGAAGATCAGGAACTTCATTCATACAACTTCATGGCATTCTTGTGTGCCTGCAACCCTGAGCCTTCAGTTCCGGCCGCTTGTGGACCATTTTGTTCGATGCTTGTGCTTTGGCCAAGCAAAACGGTGCCACCTCGATTCAGCCGTCGGTGAATCGCTCAGACCAACGGAGTGGACGAGGGGTTTCGGGTTCCTAAAGGTCGAAAGGAGAAACACTAACTGCTTTTGGGCTGCTACCTTTCGCGCATCAAGTTGGACGTTGGATCGACGATCACCAGCAATCCAATGTTTGTAGGTGTTTGACAGACACCCTCGCTGAAGCCGGGTTGGATTGGCCAACACGACATGCCAACACCTAAGGCACTCTTCAAGATGAATCATTTTCATTGGCACCTCACGGATGACCAAGGTGGGTCGATCCGCGCGGTGTCCTCCGTGGCACGGACGATGTGGCGCGGTGTCCTCCGGTCTGCACGAGCTTCGGACGAGCTCCGTGACCCGGTGCTTCAGTGGGTTTCGGTCCCCAGACAAAACGAAAGGGACTGGAATTGCTACTTCCATGGATGGGTCATATATCATATTATGATATATCTATATCTATATATATATATATGCATAGAGTGGGGTTGAAATGTATATATGCAGTAACTATATGACTACACGGAACTATTCCATTATACAGCATGGATAGCCTGGGGACCATCAACCTAGTCCCGTGGGCCTGACCCTCCGTCAGGCTGGCGCTTCCCGGTGGCCAAGTACCCGAACTTGATCCGCCTCGGTGCCCATCGCCGGGCCACGCAGCAGGGGCACAGCTCGGCCACGGATGGGAGGCCCTACAACCACTCCTACACCGAAGAGGATGCGAAGGGAAGGGTGGGCGAAGAGGATGCGCAGACTTACGTTTAACGTTGGAGGAAGAACTCTTGCACCACCTATTATCCCGAAGACGCTGTCAATACTTGTCATATCTTGGGTTATGCACGGCTGAGTACTGTATTTAATCAGCTAGTCTAGTCAGCTGGTTGTGGATATTTGGCGCCAAGCATGTGGCGCGTATTTGATCAATCCGTGACAGGAGATCCATGAGGTCTTGTCCCTGGCAGAGTCTTTGTACATCGAGGTGGTGCCGGAATTCGACATCCCCGGACACTCTCAGGCCTTCTCATTCTTCCGTGCGTGGGAAAGGCATGATGGAGGTTTCGAGCCCCTGTTTATGAGGTTTCAGCAGAGCGCAGTCATGACCATCCAGTGGAGAATTCCATGGCCCCGAGCTTCCGACCACCGGAGGCTCCCACCCCTCTTTGCCCCCCGTTGCTCCGTGTGCCTGGAGCCCTCGCAAGCGAGGCGCTCATCGCCAGCTACCCGGAGATGGGCAACGCCGACAGCGCCGCGCGCTGGTCCCCGGAGGTGGCCACGCACTTCGGCGCGCTGCAGCCGCTTGGACGGGTGGATGGGGGGCGGTGGAGGACGCGGGAGGACGCAAAAGGGGAGGCCCCCCGTGAAGATTTGCATGCTCCCCTCCACTATAGGATTAGGGATTCGTTGGGACATATATAGCTGAGAAATTTGTTGCCATTCCCAATCCTAGCAGCGGCAGACTTCGATCTCAAGGCGAGAGAGAGAGAGAGAGATCAGCCTGCTTCACCCATGGCTGGGTGTTTTGGTGAAGCCACCGGCGAAGGCACATTGTGCTTTCGCCGAGGGGCGGCCCCGACCGCTCTCGCCCGTCCTTTCGCCGAGGTACACCTTGTCTCCCTCGGAGCGGTCGGTGAATTTCACCAAGGACGTGCTCAGTGACCTGGCCGGAAGCGGACAAGTGGCCCGAAGGGGGCTCATCAGTCCGGGGTGGGTCTTTGTATAATTACATAGGTCCTTCAAGATTGGGTTGACCAGACGCTGGGGTTGACCAGGTATATCGTGGACACCAAGTAAGGATTGATATTGGCCGATCGGCAAGAAGTGTGGAAGCGCTCACGACCAGCCACGAGCTCCTGTTGCACTTGTGTCACATATATATATATATATAATCACACACACACACATATATATATATATATAGAGTTCTGTTTCCCTTCTAGGTTTTTGTGCTTTCCTAATTCTACCCCGTCCTTTCCAGTGCAAACTGCGCGGCACCACCCGTCCCGGTGCGGCACCAAACTGCGCACGGCAGGCGAGATGGCGCAGCTCTTCCAGGCCTCGCCCTACGTGCACATCGGTGGGGACGAGGTGCCGACGGCCCAGTGGGAACACAGTCCGAGCGCCATGGCCGTGGCACGGAAGGAGCACGTGAGCCTGAAGCGGCTGGAAGGGATGATGCCTCTCGAAATTGATTGGCGATTTTGGTGACTCGGGTGGGTACGGAAGACTAATACACAATGTAGACATATATACATAGATGTATACCCTCGGGTCAAAGACCAGTAAAGAATTGTCATTAGGTGACCCGAAAAAGAATGTACTTTACTTCAGTCAGTCAAAATATCGTCGTTGGACTTCTAGGGTATATGTCTAATATGGGGTAATTGCATATCTAATTGTATAAAACATATTGTATTTTAAGTTATAAGCTCTCCATAGTTCTTCAATGCTTTTTGGTGGTTCAAACTTGTCTCCTTGAGTGTGTTCGGTTGGTCCCCCACAATGACCAGACGCGGCCTTCGTGTGTTCGGTTGATCCCCGGGGTTCGCTCCGGCTCGGTGGTCTAAGGCTCGGCAAGGCGGCGGAGCACCTGCACGGCTTGGGGCGGAAGGCGGTGGTCTGGGACGATGCCATGGAGAGCGGCGGACATCTGCCGGACGATGCCGTCGCTCGGTCAGACCAGACCAGACCAGACCAAGCGCGCATGGCGGCATGGTCGGACAGAGCATGTTGGAGATACGGTGTGGACCATGGGTTATATACTGTTTGCAATGTCCTACATGAGGCGACCCAGCAAAACCTTCTCCCGCACTGCCACTCCTGGCATTCCTTCTTTTGCGACCAGGTAGTGATGATCTGGAGGTCCTGGGAAGGCTTGGAGAAGCTGGGCAACAGAGCCTTCGCGCAAGGGCATTCGGTGGTCTTGGCACCACAGGCCTACACCTACTTGGATCAATGGCAAGACCGCACCCACTCGCAGCTCAGATTCGCTTCAGCCCTTGACCATCCTGAAGTGATGGATGCATAAGGTTTATGAAACTCATCGCGCACTTGAAAAGCACGGCAAGTCGACGAGTCTTTTTTGCCCTTTGTGTGCAACCTATTTGAAACATGTGTTTGCACAAAGGGGCACATGAAGATCAAATTTCCGAAGAAGCACCGTTTTCTCAGGAGCCATGTTCCACTTCCATGTGCTTGTGCTTTGTGGTTTGTGTATGTTTGGTGAAAGTCAAAGTCCTTCGGCCTTCGCCCATCCGATGAAACCGAGGCACTTTGATGCGATCGGCGGCTTTTTGCCGCTCTCGACGGTCTACGCCTCGCCCACGCATGCGGGCCGTGCGCACGTGCTGGGGATCCAGGGGCAGCTTTGGAGCGAGTACATCCGCCACTGGGATGGCACGATGGCACGGATGACACCTTTTTCTGAATTTCATTTTTATCGCCCTGTCCCAGAGTTTTCGGAAGGCCTGAAGCTCCGAAGCTCTTTCCTTTGAGAGAGACAGCCCTTTTCCATCAAACGTGTGAAGGCCGGGCCCATGAATTAGTAAGAACTGAAACATTGCAGAAGATCCCGTGGTCGCAACCGCTGTGGTCGCAACACCTGGCCCCAGGTATGTGCTTCAAATCCGTTCAATCGAAATCTTCGATCAGCTTGGCCTCTGCCCCCTCCATCCCAGAAAGACCTTCCTTTTGGTTGCCGAACCACCTCCGCCGAACCACCGAACTGCCGAAGTGGGCCACACCCGAGGCGAAGGCTCCCGAAACCTGGACTACATGGCGTGGCCCCGCGGCTGCGCGCTGGCCGAGGTGGGTTGGTCCGGCGAAGGCCGCGGCCGCTTCCGCGACTTCCGGCAGCGCTTGGCGAAGCGTTTGGAGGATCGGAAGGGGAAGGTGAAGGTACCGTCGCGAGGGAGATGAAGATGATCACAGAGAAATGTAAAAACTGCATAATAGGCATAGGATTCCGGCAGACGTTATGCATTTTTATGCTTTCCACAAGGTGAGAAGAACTGCTGAGAGGAATGTAACGCTGTCGGTTGAGGAATGGCCTGTGGAGGCTTGCCAAAATTTAGATTGATAGAGGAATGCCACGGAAAACATGGCCTAACAAGTTCAGGTGCCATGTCTTTATTGTTTTCCTTTGCTTGTTATGATTTGGAGGAGGCTCCCAAAATCCCACATCAACACATGCCAACGCCAGTTCACCCTGGAAGGACTTCAAACTGTACGACATCAACCTGGGAGAGATGTGAGTGTTCAAACGCTGAGAGGGCTGTTCCAAAGGATGGCGCTGCCGCGCCAACGTTGGCACCACCTGTGGGAAAAAAGGCGCAGAAGGCATGGTGAGTTTGTGAATGCCGAGTGAAAGTGACTGAGCCATGTGGGACTCACACGATCGGTGCACCGTGAATTGATGCACCGTCCATGGGCGTCCCCTTCCTTGGGAGCAACTACATGTGGACCATATATCCTACAACAACTAGGAACAAGTGCCTTACTAGTAGTAACAAGAACGCTAGTAGTAACAAGTGCATCGCTACTAGTAACAAGTGCCTTACTAGTAGTAACAAGAAGCTAGTAGTAACAAGCATATAATTGTTAGAACTTCGAGCCGCTCCGCCACAAGACCATTTTCATCCATTTTCCATCCTGGAGAGGGGCCACCGTGGGTGAATCCAGATTCAAGCTTTTGGAAATTGTCTTCCCATGCGACCATTTTGGAATATTTTGGATCTATTTGGAGAGAGGGGCATGATGCAAAGAGATAGGAGGTTCCATGATCACTTGCCCCTGCTGACGAAAGGCAAGCCTAGTAAACCGATAAATTCGACCTGCCTTTAACAAGAGTTCAGATGCCTAAGGACACCGTAAAGGCTACAGCTTCTTGGGTACCACAGCTGGTCCATGAACACTTGTTATGTTGGAGATTTTTTACAGTTTCTCAGTTTCATGATGTTTCATTCAATTCCTTCCCCTCTCCCAAGCCAATGGACAAGGATCGACTGTTGAGACGGGGATGTGGGTGGAGTCGGGGAGGTCATTGGGACTGAACGGATCGCTGCCGAGGACAAACAAGTCTTCCAGCACGATCATCATCGAAGCTAGGGCAGAAGACGTGGTACTCGAAACAGGGTGGGGGCTGCCGGATGGTGGCAGTGGCAGTCATCTCTTTCGTCAAGGGTCCAAGAGCATGATGAAAGACTGAGCCATACAACAGCAAGGAGTACAGATGTTGAGACACCAGAGCCGTCGTTTGCTTTTCGTGAGAGGACCGGTTGGCGGGTCACCCAGTCCATGGTGAGTTCATGAACCTGCAAGCCCAGTCCGGCCGATTGGTTAAGGAGATTGATCCAAATGGTCCAAATTCACACAAAAGCCAAGATGGATTTGTTGGTGAGGCTGGTCCCAAAAGCAATCAAAACATATCAAAACTTTGTTTCAAGTTCAGGCAGTGTTGGCTGAGTTCTGCGCGTCCACCCACCCACCTCCTCCAAGAACCACGCCACTTTCTCAGGCGCCAGCACCGAGACACCGCCGAGGCGCTCCTCCGCACCGGTCCGGCTCCGGTCCCGTTTTCGGAGTCCCAAGGAACCAGACCCAGAGCCGGAGTCGATCTATGAGGAGCTGGAGTCGGGGCTGCTGAACGTCACCGGCCGCCCGGCTTCGTGGTACCGGGGCAGTTTCCGCCACGTGGGGAGCAAGGTGGCAGCGGCTTTGCCGTGGTGAACGGGAGGGTGAGGGAGGTGAAGGAGGGGAGCAGCTGCCTTGCCTCAAGCAGGTGGGTTGGGGGGAACACGTGTGAAGCCGTAGATGATGCATGAGGTGTGCATGCCGTAGCTAGGTGGATTTTGGTGTCCGAGGTGGGTGGGTGAACATCTGGAAGGAATTCGTAGAGCTGCATTTGATGCAAAGAATATGCAAGGTGTCCCTTCCGTGCCTGCAGTAGCAGCTGCTATGTCCTCAAATCTATGCACAGATGGGACTCAACAAGAGTTCTATGTTCGTGGCTGCATCCGTTCCAAGTGGCCCAAGAGTTTCTCAAGTGCACCAACCATTTTGATACATCACCTGCAAGCGAAGGTTCTGGTGGCCCCCGCCACCGGGAGGCCGTGCTCTAGAGGTGCCAGGTCCCATGTTGTTACATGAATTTTCGTGGGAACCTCCCATTGCCATCAGCCAAGCCACTGGCGCCCCGTCGAGGCACTGAAGAGGAGCCGTGGGCCTGAACCGGGAGGCTTCTGTGAGATCCACCTGAAGAATCCAACGAGTTATACTGTTACTTCTATATGTACGTAGGCATATAATATACATATATATCTATCACATATCATGGTGGGTTGGCGGCGGGAGACCGCCAACAACCAGAATGAATTGTGGAGTCTTGGTGTCTGACCTCCTTGGTGAGCTTTAGAGTCATATGTTATATATACCTAGATCTTCCAACTGCGCAACACTTCTGCCTTTTCATCTGTAAAACCAGCCCAAAGGCGGACATAGTTGGACGATCTAGGTATAGATCATATCGCTTGACCAACGGATTAGAGGCCTTTGGATACTGAGCAGCTGTGACCACACACCCGAATCCAAATGAAAGATAATGAAAGAATGACCGTACTTCTTGAGGTCAAACGTTCGGAAACCACCTCCGCTCGATGGCGCGTTGGTGGAGCCGCGCGCTAGTCGACGCCACGCGCTCAGACGCCCAACGGCGACGTCGTCACGTGGCCCAGGAGTCCTTCTACGACGCGAGGAGCGAGGCGTCCGAGGAGCGCGGGTGGCGGGGCGCGCTGGGACAGCCCCGGACCTGGTGACCATTGGTGAAGCCTCCAAGCTTCGGATTGCCGTTCAAAACGGCCCCCTCCCAACAACTCCCAGCTTTCCAGGGTCTGTGATGGTCTGTGGCTTTTGATTTTTTGTTTCGCCCTTTTTTCAACCAAAAGTCTTTTCGACTTCGTTTGGAAAGTCTTCGGCCTGGAAAGGTGGTCGTTTTGTCGTGGGGTCGTTTTGGAGGGTGGTCGTTTTGTCGAGTGACACGGTCTGACTGAGAGACGGTCTGAGGCCTTCAACCCTTCCAATCACCACCCGAACTCCATATCTCTCCGTGGTGACCGGTTTTCCTTGTTCTTCGTCGTGCGGCGCAAAAAAGACACACCTCGTCTGGTGCCCCAGGAGCTGCGCCGCTTCTCGAAGTCTTCGAAGGCGCGAGGTGGCGAGGTGTTTGACGGCAGTCAGCAGTTATTGGTGGGTAGGGGTGCCCATCGTCCACTCGCTTGGGGACTCAAAGCCAATCCTTTGAAGCAGCGCAAAAGAGCCGTAGACCGTAGATGTTTTGAGCGTCGGTAGCACAAGCCAAGTCTGATCCGACCATGCCCCATTTCCGAGATCCATCTTCAAAACCCCTTCAACCTGGCTGAAGGCTTTAAGACTCAAGACGTTGTTCAGCAAGAAGCTACGACGAAACCAAGGGCATGACTGCCCCTCCCAACCGGCCACCAGTCGGTGCCACCGTTTCCCAGTTCTCCGAGCCCAACGTGGCGCGGTTCGTTTCGCCCAAGAAGGCTGGGCGGCTGGACCAGAGGAACGGAGACGGAACGGTGGGTCCCGGGTGACGCGACGGAAGGGACTGGATAGAACATTCAACACATAGGGACGCAGAGGGCCCAAGTTCAACCAACCATGCAATTATGCCAAACAAACTCAATGAGGATCCCTCAGGGACAGTCTTTTTGGAGCACATGATGATCCAGAAGGCACCGTCTTCATTGCATCTAACATATTCTAAAACCACACGTTGGTCTGCGAAGCGCACGCGCGCTTGCTGCGCCGGTGAGTTTGCCAGGCGAGCAATCCACGGAGACCTGGTGCAGCATCTGGAGATTTGATCCCCCTGAAGGGTTTGCTTTTTCATTTCTTGATCTAAGGCAGTTGGTCACACTGGTGGTACCTGGTAGGAGTTGGGATGCTCCGGGTTGGTGCAAGTTCAGCACAGCTGGTTGCCATCTGACGAAACTACTATTTCAGTGCCAAGTCACGACGGCAGCGCTGTCCCCAAATCAATCCCATGGCACGCTACAGGGTCAACCTGTTGGTGGCTCTACAAACAGCAGTGTTTCTCCTTGCTGAGCCAAGGAGCCAAGGAGCTCCAGGCAGTTTCCCTGTTCACGTGGTTCGAGGTCTCAGCGACGCTATAGGGTCAACCTGTGCCAAGTCATCCTATCCACACCCGGTCGGTCGCGACGTCGCCTGGCTCGGTTCGGTGAGACCCGATTCGACCATCTGCTAGTCCCCAGCTGCGCCCATCCCCTTCGACGAAAGATGTGCGACCAACTGGTTGGCCCATCCTGAGGAACGGCTTATCCACGGAGGTCCTGGAAGTGTCTCAAAGGCCATCATGGTCGGAGAGATGATGGTTTCAGATTCGTCAGATCAGGTCGAACAACTACCCGTTTGGTGCTGTTGGAAGCGGCTCAAATGTATATATATATATATATATACACTTCGATGTTGCCTTTTGTTCATTTGACCATGATTGTGAGGTCGTCCTGCCCTAAGAATGATAACTTTTTCAGCGTGTGGGGCGTGACGGCGGGGCGTGATTCACACTACTTGAAGTGTCCGACCGAAGCCAGGCTGGAGTCCCTCCTGAGCATTCGAAACCTTTGCCACTCTGGCCTCTTGGCATGAGATCTTTCGAGGCAAATCCCATCACAGACACTGTCAGATGGCGTGGGGATCGCGAATGATCGTGAGGTTTTATGTGGGGTGCCCTTGTCCCAACCCAGCCAGCATTCACAGCCCCAAAAGCACTCACCTGCTTGGCGGGGGCAGATTTCTGCTTGGTCTTTGCTCTCCAAGTGTTTGTGATTTCTCCCCACACCTACGCATGCCAAAAGGGAGGTGCTCTCCTGCAAACTGACATGGAACCCGAGAATTGACCGGTGGAAGACCATTTCATCTACAACCCAGTGGTTTTGGGGTTCCATGTTAATCTGCAGGGGGGGTAGCTCGTTCATGATGCCTTTGCCGTGGGTCAGTTGCACGCCATGTTGTGAAAGGTATGTATACTGTCTCCGTTGCTGGGGAGGCTTCGCCTACAGGTCAAGGACCTCATTTGACCATATATTTTCTCCAGTCAAAAAAGGTTTGCCCATTACCCCATGAAGCAAATACTCAGCTTTTACTGGATTCTGGAACCTTTGCATTTTTGCGACGGATCCGGCTTCAATGCTTTTTGGTATTCATCGCAGGCAAGACCAGCGGCACCGCTATTGACAAGGAGGGCAAGTCGATGAACATCCAGGACTGGCGTTTTTTTTGGGGTTGCAAGATGGG